GCTGCGAAATCCAGCGCGCGTTTGGGAACGACCATTTTTGTTAAACTGGGGGGGGGTGGGGTGGGTGGGTAGAGGGAGGTTGTGGGACTTTGCTCCCCCACTGGGTGGAGCGGTTGTAAAGTTGTTTTTTTTGTTTGTTTGTTTGTTTTTGGGGGGGTCCCCTCAGCCAGCCTGGCTCCTAGGAAGGCGTGGAAACGGGCGGGCGCTCCCCTCACACTCGGGTCTGGCGTGGTTATTAGAGCAGGCGTCGAAGCCGAGCAGGGAGGCTCAATGGGGAGGTGAAAACAGGAGGGGGCGCTGTCGGAGAGGGAGAGCCCAACCCCGGCGGCGGGATGGAGGGAGGCGGGGACTGGAGGGGTTGCCTGATAGGGGGGAAGCGAAGGGGTGTAACCTGGAATAACCTGGAAGACGTGACCCATACCGAGCCAGATTCAGGGGAGACCTCCGTAAGGGATGGGTTGTGCGGGTATCGCGGAGGTTTGGGGTCAACCAAGAATGGAACTAGAGTGGGGATCAGGGAGCGGAGTGTTTAAGACGGGCGGAGCGCACTGCGAAACCATGCCCCACTACCTGCTGTCTGAGTACCCTAGTGTAAGTCACTTTCTGAACCCCGTTTCCTCCTCTATAAGTGGGATTAACAACCACAGGGCCCAAAACTGCGGCGATGGTAGAGTTCGATGAGATAATGTGCGTGTCATCATGCGCGGCGAGATGCTGCCATGTTGTACTCTCTTAATAAATCGTCATGGTAGCTATTATTATTATCAATCTGGGATTCTGAGGGCCAGAGGTGTAGCAACGGAAACGAGGTGGCTCGGCAGGGCCGGGCGGTGATGATAAAGGCGGGGATATACGGTGACCTGGAGGAGAGGTGGGCCTGGGGGCGCTGTAGTTATGGGTGAGATAAGGCGTTTAGGAAGAAGGAAGCCCTAGTAAGACAAGGGCGGACTTAGGGTGTGACCACAATGAAGGTGGGCTCTAAGGATGGGATGGCACGAGAGGAAAGTGGAGTGGAGGCGGCCCCGTCAGGGTCGGGGCGGCGTAGTTGAAGAGCTGGCTCTCTTGGGGTGTCCCAGGGGGAGGAGCCGGTCTGCGGCGGGCGGAGCTATGGGTTGGGCCGGGCTTAGGCTACGCGCTTCTGCTTGTCTCATTCCAGCCTCCCTCTGCAGCTACCAGCCTGAGCCATGGGCTGTCGAGCTCTCCAGCTTCTGCTTCTGGCTTTCCTGGCGCTCGGGGCCGCCTTAGCCGTCCGGCCGGCCCTAAGGGCCCTCGGCAGCCTGCACTTGCCAACCAACCCCACCTCTCGCCCCGCTGTGGCCAAGAACTACTCGGTTCTCTACTTCCAACAGAAGGTAAGCGGTAAGAGGCTTCGCGACCCCAGGCCCAACCGCCTGGACCCGCGTCCCCAGAACCTACTCATCGGAACGACGCCGAAATTCAGATCTTCTAATGCCTAGGACCTGTCCAGTCTTAGGCTGACAGGTGACCCTGTCTCGGTTCTTTGACAACATTCTCAACCTATTAACCAATAACCGTATCAGATCAGTTCTGGCTCCATACTCTTTCATTCAAGCTCTTTTTTTTTTTTTTTTTTTGAGAGATTTTCACTGTAGGGCACGTGCGCTCGCCAGACAGACAGAGAGAGACATAGAGACAGAGAGCGAGAAATCACCCCCTAGGGGGGATGGTCACGCCGCAATCCCTTCTCCTCCATTCTCCTCTCGGGATCTTGAGCACGCACGCACACGTGCCCGGCGTGAGTTTCAAGCCACCAGGTCCGGGACACGAACCGCGGTCAACTACGTGGGAGTCCAGCGACATAGCCATTAGCTAACTGCTGGTTCCCTCATTCAAGCTCTTTTGTAATTGACTGAAACAGTCGCTTAGACTCCACCTGCTTCCAGAGGATGCCTCACTTCAAACTTGCCCCAAATTCAAATTAAGGAATGCCAACTGTGGCCCCAAATGCGTGGTAATAGTCATTCTTTGCCTAAAGGCAGTCCCTAAATACAAATTCCAATATAAATACTCACTTGTTAGAATATATCGGGTTTTTATTCACTCCCAAAGCCAGCCTGTTCTATTACAATTAGCTCAAAGTTGATTTTGTAGCCCTTTTGTTAAGCTAAGCACCTTTGATAGCTCCTATTCCCCTTTTGACTGAACATATGTAGCCTATGCTTGTGAGGGAAGTTGTAGGGTGTGTCAAAATTCGGAGTGGGAGTGAGGGTGGAGATTAGAGCCTTTGTGGTTTGTAACTTGAGTTTGGTTTAAAATAGGCTTGATGCCTTTGTGCTTGGTTGCAGCTTGGATGGAAAAGTTTGGGAAAAGTACATCCTGTGTGAAATGCCAGAAACTTACACTTCTGCATTTCTGGTAGTATGTGTAAAGATAGGCAAAGATTGAGAAAAGGTTGAGATTAGGAAGAGATGCAAGGGTAAGAAACTTTAGGAGTAGGACCAGGATTCCACCTTGCTAGTTCTGTGACCTCGATCAGGTTATGGTACCTCTCTGAGCCTAGTTTTCTGATCTCCTGCCGTAATAGTGAGGCTAAATGAGGTACTTATTAAATGCATGGTTGCAGACCTTTGTGAATGTTTTAAAATATTTTAAAAATTAAATCTTATTTTAAAAGGAAGTTTCTTTCTAGAAAGAGCTAGAGATAGAGACATCCTTGATAGGGTATACCAGACTAGGATCCCTTCTCTCATCATTCAGCCATCAGAATCATGAACATGCCCAGTGCATTCTGGTTGATCTGGATCAGAACTCAGGGCCTTCCATATGACTACAATGTGCCACCATAATTAGACTGTGAATTTTGAATGTGAGTTTGGGATAGAATGACATCATGAACTTGTAGAATATAGTTGGCCTTCTGTATATGCAGGTTCTGCATCCAACCAACAATGTTTTTTAAAATTCCAGAAGTTTCCTGAAAAATAAAACTTGAATTTGCCACACAAGTACTATGCTAAATCCACATGAATGAAATGATGTGTAGTCATTTTATTAGCTATTATAAGTGATCTGGAGATGATTTAGAATATGGGTATGGGAGGGTACGCATACATTCTGTGAAAATACTATGCCTTTTTCTATCATGGACTTGAGCATCTGAGGATTTGGTATCTTCAGGAGTCTTAGAACCAATCCACCATGGGTACTGAGGGATAACTAATTTATGAGACACAATTCTTAACCCAGATATTTGAATTCGTGTTTATGAGGAAGTTGAAAAGCATTTAATTTTAGCAGACGTGCCAGAAAATAGGGGACTTTTCCTCAGGGAACTCCCCCAAGTGAACTCTTTTTTTTTTTTTTTTTTTTTGAAGAAGTTTTTGCTATAGGGCGCATGCGCTCGCCAGACAGACAGAGAGAGACAGAGAGACAGAAAGCGAGAAATCACCCCCCAGGAGGGATGGCCACGCCGCAATCCCTTCTCTTCCATTCTCCTCTCGGAATCTTGGGCATGCACGCACACGCGCCCAGCATGAGTTTTAAGCCACTGGGTCCGGGACGCAAACCGCGTTCGACTACATGGGAGTCCAGCGACATAGCCACTATGCTAACTGCTGGTCCCCCAAGTGAACTCTTTAGTGTCTGGTTTCCTTGTTTGTAAATTAAAAGATTGACATAAGGACCAGTGTGTTAGACACTTCACTGAGGAGAATTAGGGTCTTCCAGGGCTTGCCTCAGAGAGAAGGTGGGGGAAGGCTGAAGTGGAGGCTAAGGTAGGTGCTTCAGTGCTCCCCTCTTTTCCTGACTTTTTAAAAAATAGAGCTGTATTCTTTTATCTGTGTAATATACTGGGATTTTACATATGACTATTTGCTGACTTCTATTGCTAAAGTAAAATTAGGGGAAGGACTTTCAGAATAGAAAGAATATCCCTGAAATCCCTTCGGGAATGATGAAAAGAGACAACTATGAGCAGAAAAGAGGGAATGAAAAAGTAGAAGGGACCTGACTTGTTAGTTCCCAAATTATATTGCATTGTAGATTCCTTTGTTGACTACTCTTTAATAATAAGATTTAAGGTTGGTCCTTTTTCTATTTTTGGTAATTTGCAAAATTTATTTGGCTTTTCTCAGCCACTTTTTGCTCATTGGTTTATACTGTTCATATTTTAGGACATGAATTTAGGATACATATGTATTTATACGATAATAATTATTGTTACATCAGCTTCAATTGTGTTTTATTTATTTTTGGAGAAAAACTGCCACATTTGTGTTTATTATATAATTGTAGTAGTTGCCAATTTTTGACCATAGATTTTAGTTGGGACTGCATGTGTGTAACTCAATTTTATTATTTTTTTTAAAAATTTACATAAGATGCATATGTTTGCCAGAGAGACATGGCCAGAGAGACCAAGTGAGAAAGTACCTGCTAAAGGGGATAACCATGCTACAATCTCCACTCTTCCATTTTTCTCTCTCTCCTCTTGGGATTTTGGGCACACACAGGTACCCAGCATGTTTTTCAAGTTGCCAGGTATTGGATTCAAACCATGTGTTTGGCCATGTGGGATCCAGCCATTTTAACCACCCACCATTGGCTGGCTGAACTCTAATTTTATTTTTTTGTTAGAGTAGATGGAATATTTTTAGGCTTTTAATAACAGATTTATAACCGCAAGTCTCAGTTTTTATTCAAAGTTTAATTTTTACCAAATGTATAATGATTTCTTCATCTGTGATAGTATCTGTCTAGGTGACCAAGTTAGTCCCAGCTATCCTTACATGCACAAAAAGGACTGACTGGGTTTTATGAGTGATTACTGTAAAAAGGCTTCTCACCGAGGCATTGTTACCTCCTGCTTAGAAATCCTTTGTATCTCTGATTGCTTGCAGGATAAAGACCAAACTCCTTGGCATTGTTATTCACCACATAACCCCTGCTGACCTTTCTAGTTTTAACATCCTGCCATGTTCCGCATCCCCACTCCTACACAACTACACTTTTAGCAACATAGAACACAAACTCAAGTGGATTTTACTGTGTCAGAAATTAGGTCTGGAATTCATCCCTCTTCTCTACTTGTTAACTGTCTTCTGTACTTGTTAAACTCATATTTCTATTGCAGCTTAAATGCCACTTGTTCTTGGAAACCTTTTTTTCTTCTTTTGGACAATTTATCAATAGTCGGTCTTTCATTATCATGCACGCTTACTAATGTGTATGTGTCTTTCCAGCTAGCTATCACTCTCCAGACCCTAGAAGAGCCTATAAAAACTATAAAGCACAAATAAGTAGTTCAGGGTGTGAATAAATGACTATTCAAAGAGAGCCTAAACAAAGGGTACCAAGATTTAATTGACAAATTATTATTATTTTTTTTTTCTGGAGAGATTTTCGCTATAGGGCGCGTGCGCTCGCCAGATAGAAAGCGAGAACCCCCCCAGGGGGGATGGTCACGCCGCAATCCCTTTTCCTCCATTTTCCTCTTGGGATCTGGGACATGCACGCAAATGCGCCTGGCGTGAGTTTTAAGCCACTGGGTCCAGGACGCGAACCGCTGTCGACTACGTGGGAGTCCAGTGACATAGCCATTATGCTAACTGCTGGTTCCCGACAAATTATTTTTTATTTTTCTTTTATCTCTTCTATTCTTTGCCAATGATTTTTCCTTATTTTTTAAAAAAATTATTAATTTAGCTTTATTTGTTATTATTGTTTTAAATTTTGCTGTAATAGAGCACATGCATTCAGCAGAAAAGAGAACAAGAGAAAGCAGGTTGCCAGGTCAGGACTCGAACTGTGGTTGGCCATTGTGGGAGTCCAGTGCTTTAATCTCCATGCCACCTGGTGGCCCCTTTTCCTTCTTAAAAATCTTCAAATGTTGATTTAGCGGGAATATTTTATTTTATTATTACTATTTTTAATCTGAAGTAACCGAATAAGAAGACAAGAGGAATGCTGGTACAACAATACAACAGGCCAATGCCTGGCCAAGTTGACACATAAAATTAATCATTATATCTACCAAGTCTGTGATCAGGGTTAACAATGGTAACATTTGAAAACACACATACACACACACACACACACACACACACACACACACACACGATATCTGAAACACGACTGGAATTTACAGAATATTTACAGTAAATAATCATTTATAGTAAATGCCTTTTATCGCCCTACTCTGTTCTAAAACCACACTCTCTGTAGTGGTTATACATTTCAGATTTATCCAAATGCATGACAGTTATGACAGTTATTAACCTCCTCTGTAAACTAGTGGTCAGTCATCTACACACAACTACTCCTATGTAACTACCAGTCAGTGTTTTTGTTAGGAGTTTGTATACTGGCCCCGCATTGAGCTCACAGCACCAGA